TAGTTTATCTGATTAGTTGGTTTTTAAACTTGATTTGTGGCTGCAGTAAGATTGTGGATGTTTGAGTCATACATCGCTGAATGTTTCAAATTGAGGAAGGTATCTCAAAAGGTCAATCTAACTTTTTTTAAATAATCTTCTGACAATTGACAACTTGTGTCTGGGATAGACAAAAATCACATTGATAATTGATCATATATTTTCTGTTAATTCCAGCACTGCCTTTTTTTCCATGCTCTGTTAAAAATGTAATACACAACTAAAGGCTAATTGTTATTGTTTTATGTTTGAAGTTGTTTTCTGCTGCATCTTCTCTCTGAGTTCAGAGCCAAGCTTGTCTGAGGCTCCTTGCCTTGCTGGAAGGCCAGGGAAGTAATCATTGGTCCATATACTCTACCCTGGGTTGACTTAAAATGCTTCCCCAACAGCTGTTTGCTGCATCATTCTCTCCCGTCTATCCCCCACACTGAACTGAGCACCGAACCACGGGTGTGCTATCTGGATCGGTCTCCTCCGTCCGTCTCTTTCATCAGGACTGGCTGGAGCAACATCAGGACGAGCTTTCACTTAGACAAGCAGGCTTGCTTGATTGAGATAGATAGACTGGCCAGGACACTTAATCTTCTGTCCAATGAAAAATGTTAACTGCATCCTGATGTTCCCCCCCCATGCAGTGCAATTAGGCTGAATTACCACTGTGTGTTTAAGTGTCCCCTCTGAAATGTCTACGCCAATTCCTTTCTTCTGTAAATCTTTTACTTTGTGTTTTTTTAAAGTTTGATATTTTCCAAAAGCCCATCCTTTCAGGGAATTATGTTTTACAAACATCAGACATTACTTAGAGCGATGTCTATTCGAGAAATTAAAATAATTTAAACAATTTTTACATTTGAAATGAAGTATATGTGCAGTCAAGCAAAACTCCAGAGTGTCAGGAAAGAGGTATGACAGTATAAATGGTGATGGCAGACATTTTCAAACACACCCTTCTTCAAATCTAAGGAGAAAGTTACACGAGAGGTCTCATTAGTCAAACCTTCAGTCTACAAACGCTGCCGTTGTGTTTTCATAGTATCACTTGTACTATCACAGACGGATGAGGTCCACTGAGCAAAGATAAAGCCGGTGTTATTTCACCCCTGGCCTTTCTTGACACATGGATCGCTTTTGGGAGCAATGCAGAAACACACAGGTTTACATACTTTAAAATAGCACACTGGTGTAGAAACTAATGAATAAAAAAAAGGTGCAGGCCTTTCTGTTTCTTTGATTATATAAAAGCATATTTGTTTTCAGCCCTCAAAATCTAAAAACTCAATTGATGGTGAATATATATACAGTGGGGCAAAAAAGTATTTAGTCAGCCATCAATTGTGCAAGTTATCCCACTTAAAAATATGAGAGAGGCCTGTAATTTTCATCCTAGGTACACTTCAACTATGAGAGACAGAATGGGGGGAAAGAATCCAGGACATCACATTGTAGGATTTTTAATGAATTTATTGGTAAATTCCTCTGTAAAATAAGTATTTGGTCACCTACAAACAAACAAGATCTCTGGCTCTCACAGACCTGTAACTTCTTATTTAAGAGCCTCCTCTGTCCTCCACTTGTTAACTGTATTAATGGCACCTGTTTGAACTCGTTATCAGTATAAAAGACACCTGTCCAAAACCTCAAACAGTCACACTCCAAACTCCACTATGGCCAAGAGCAAAGAGCTGTCAAAGGACACCAGAAACAAAATTGTAGACCTGCACCAGGCTGGGAAGACTGAATCTGCAATAGGTAAGCAGCTTGGTGTGAAGAAATGAACCGTGGGAGCAATTATTAGAAAATGGAAGACATACAAGACCACTGATAATCTCCCTCGATCTGGGGCTCCACGCAAGATCTCACCCCGTGGGGTCAAAATGATCACAAGAACGGTGAGCAAAAATCCCAGAACCACACAGCGGGACCTAGTCAATGACCTGCAGAGAGCTGGGACCAAAGTAACAAAGGCTACCATCAGTAACACACTACGCCGTCAGGGACTCAAATCCTGCAGTGCCAGACGTGTCCCCCTGCTTAAGCCAGTACATGTCCAGGCCCGTCTGAAGTTTGCTAGAGAGCATTTAGAGGATCCAGAAGAGGATTGGGAGAATGTCATATGGTCAGATGAAACCAAAATAGAACTTTTTGATAAAAACTCAACTAGACGTGTTTGGAGGAGAAAGAATGCTGAGTTGCATCCAAATAACACCATACCTACTGTGAAACATGGGGGTGGAAACATCATGCTTTGGGGCTGTTTTTCTGCAAAGGGACCAGGACGACTGATCCGTGTAAAGGAAAGAATGGATGGGGCCATGTATCGTGAGATTTTGAGTGACAACCTCCTTCCATCAGCAAGGGCATTGAAGATGAAACGTGGCTGGGTCTTTCAGCATGACAATGATCCCAAACACACCGCCCGGGCAACGAAGGAGTGGCTTCGTAAGAAGCATTTCAAGGTCCTGGAGTGGCCTAGCCAGTCTCCAGATCTCAACCCCATAGAAAATCTTTGGAGGGAGTTGAAAGTCTGTGTTGCCCAGCGACAGCCCCAAAAACATCACTGCTCTAGAGGAGATCTGCATGGAGGAATGGGCCAAAATACCAGCAACAGTGTGTGAAAACCTTGTGAAGACTTACAGAAAACGTTTGACCTCTGTCATTGCCAACAAAGGGTATATAACAAAGTATTGAGATGAACTTTTGTTATTGACCAAATACTTATTTTCCACCATAATTTGCAAATAAATTCTTTAAAAATCAGACAATGTGATTTTTTTAATTTTATCATTTTGTCTCTCATAGTTGAGGTATACCTAGGATGAAAATTACAGGCCTCTCATCTTTTTAAGTGGGAGAACTTGCACAATTGGTGGCTGACTAAATACTTTTTTGCCCCACTGTACATGTACACCACGTTTGAAACCTTGACATACACCATGAACATTGAATTCCTACACTAAACTGAGATAAAGCCAGTAATATACAATACCGATGATAAGCTGATATTTCACAGATTCTGAACTGTAAACTCAAAATACCTCATACAGTATTTTATCGGAATTGTATCTGCTCTAGCTTAAGAAACATAATCTACCTTTGCAGGAGGGTGGAGCCGCCTCCAATACAACACCTCCCTAATTACAAACTCAATCAACATCTTGCTGTAACATACTGCGACCAACGCCTAGGTAATTGATGAAGAATTACTATTTCCTATAACCTGAGGAGTGAGAAGTTTACTTTCTGAGAGTAAATGAAAAGCAGGCACACACCAGCGTAGCTCAGACAGATTTGGGGAGGACATGCTTATTGCTAATGAAAAGAGTTGGGGTATTGATGAAGTTCAGGGTGATTCATTTTCCCAGTCCCTCTGTAATCAATCAAATCCATCAGGTGTTATCTGCGCATGCAAAAGATTTGCAGACAAAAAAACAAACCATTAGCTTTAAGCAATTAATCACAGATTAAGCCTCCTAATCTTGTTTGAGAACAATATTTTGGAAAGTTGAGGAGCCGGTTATGCCGAAATTGGAAGTTTGTTTATTTGATTCAAGTATTCATTTCAGGAAGATAGTCTCGCTCTCTTTGGAGACACAAAGTCTCAAAGCTTAGAAAAGCAAAGTGCCTGCCAAGCCATATCAGTGATGGCCTCCCGATTTGCAACCCATTAACATTACAGTAGAACCATATTTGAACATAGTACACACCTTGGTGGCTCTATAAATCAATTGTAATTTGGTTGTTAAAGACATATTAAATGTGAGTTGTTATACATAATATCAGCTCTAAAAAAAAAAATGAAGATTATGTTGCTTTTATTATACAGAAGAATCAAACAGGTTCAAGTTTTCTTCTTTTATTCAAGTCTGGATTTTCGAGTTGTACTCGCACGTCCTTGGCTTGAATAAATAAAGGGAGCATTCTCTTTCTCTGTCTGTTCCTCCTCTTAGTGTCTCTAGGGGCTCTTTCTCTGACTTCCTGCCATTAAAGAGACAGCCCACTGGAGAACAGGGGGCGACTGACATATAACTACCTCTGCTCTATGACCGACGCTCCGTGCAACTCAATGGGACATCTGTGGAATTTACTTAAAGGGTAGTTTACTCAGGGAAAAATAAAGAGTAAGTTGTAAAAAATAGATAGTGTTTGCTGGTCGGCTACATAGCGGCAGACCGGAGTCGCAGCAGTACAAGATGTCTAGAGAAGCCAGAATATCAGACAGCTGTGAGTCATCCAGAACAAAAAGTTCAAATCAGCCAATGTACACAGTTACATAACAGCATAGCAGGGATGATAGTATAAATCATGTTGCTTACTCTGTCTTATCGATTATTAAATACACATTCTGTTTTCTGAGAAAAGCCTTGTTTTAAAAAATGTAAATTATCAGCAACAAAGGAAATACAGCTATCCTGTGAGTTGACCACATTTATTTTTAGATGTTATAATAATTTACAATATGTTGCATCCAGTTTATCCCCATTTTCTGTGCACTTTTTCACTGCCATCCCTGCTCCTCATTTCACTTGGAGTCTGGCAACAAAGAATCACCCAAACAAAAATCCTTTCCCTTTAAAGCACATAAACACTTCTTCTGACAAACACTTTGACAAATAATGTGGGGACTACAAGAAAACAGCAAACACGGCCTGGATTTAGTTTGAGAGCCTCATCCAGAAACCAAAACAAGTTATCTTGTGAAGCCACAAACTAGACACTCTGCGGAGACCACACACCCACGGAAACACAAATATCACAACAAATAAACTACAGCATGACCACTTCAAAAGAAACTAGAGCCGGTCCCATGCAGGGTTGTTGTAGACGCGATTCAATACGTACAATTGTCAGCATGAATCTAAATAAACAAGACAAATGTAACTGCATTCCCATTTGACCTGCCGTTAAGAAAATGTGACGCAATATCAAACAACCGATAATCAGATAAAAAAATGCATCCTTACCTTCTGTAGCCACTGGGTGTAATTCGCCATAATGTGCTCGAGCTGCTCGATCTTCTGGCTGGGGAACTCCGGCTCAGTTGGCGGAGCGTCTCTTTGGAGAGAGTTGTGCTCTGGGCTACCGGCTTTCGCCTCCCTGCAGGCACCTCCTCTGGCTCCGTCTCCCTCAGGTAAGATGAATGTATAGGTGCACTGGCCATGCTGGATCTTGTGAAATTTCCTGTTGCTGTAATTACTGTTACTACTTCCTCCATTACTGCTGCTACTGCTACTGCTGCTGCCACCTGTGCTGCTGCTTTCTGTCCCTCTCCGCTGCTCCCCTCCTCCGCAGCTCACGATCACCAGAAATGCTCCCAGCGAGATTAAGTGCCGGCCAAAGTTGTACCACAGCATCATATCAGCCTCGAGTAAAGGTTGCAGGTGAATTCAGTTACTTTATCTTCTTTGTTTAGCTGGATGTTCCTTTAAAGCTGGATCAGAAGGTGGTGAGGAACATTGTTAGCCTGTGTCATCCATCCTTACATTGGACCTCCAGCATTGAAAGCTTCTGCTTCTCTCACCTTGGAAACGTACATTAAGTTTTCATCCTGGCCGGGAAAGTTGCACGCATGTCTTGCAGTGTGACAGCTCTGTTATAAATCTTGATGTTTCTCGAGGAAATCAAAGCCAGACTGTGTGCTTGCATTGATCCATCTGTGCATTTAAAATAAGGTGCCGAGCGAGCTGAGATGGTGTCGTCAGACCTCCCCTGGACTCTCTGCCTTCCCTTCCTCCTCTGCTGTCTGACTTAACGACTGGGGAGAGTGAGAGAGACGCTCACTCTGAAGAACAGCGCCAAACATACAGCACACTCTGCGCCTGCCCCTCGCAGAGCCTGCAGAGGAATGCAAGTATGTGTGCACGCACCAGTGTGTGTGAGCCTGGCAGCAAAGGGACCCCAACACAGAGGATGTGCTTAGACTACGAGGATCGGTTTACAGGCTCTGCTGGCTCGAGGCTCATGTGGTTGACCTGCCTTTTCGCCCCTGTGTTGACAGAAAGAACTTGTCTAAACGTGTGCATTTAATTTATCTGCTCCTGAGATTTAACTCTACTCCCTTCTATACTGTACAGTGACAGGTGCTATATCAAAAGTAGACGCGAGGGAGGTGTATTCCTTTTTTTTTTTTTTATAGTGTGACTCAACTTTCTTTTGTCTCCTCCTGACAATAGAACACTTAGATCATGACAAGTGAGATCTTCTTCTCCTCTTTTAATGGAGGTTGAAGCCCTATATTTCCCAAGACCCTTAAAGGGTTAAGGAATATTAATAATTAACTGTGTAACCCAAAGGAATTTTGACCGATTTACGCAATCACTTAAATAAAATAAGTAAAATATACTTAGCAATAGTCTCTGTGACCCGTCTCGCACAAAAACTGCAGCTAGGGTTAGATTATGGATTGAATGTTGTTGTGCATTGGGTGATCATTGCAGTTTAGTGGCGTTAGGCACTTCAATCAAACGACCACAGCAGTAATCTTGTTGGTTAGTGAATTATATTGATTGGCTGAGTTGTCATTCAAACGCTGTATTCAAATGGTCTCTGAAAACATGACAGTGTTGATGCATTTATTGCACATTCTTTTTTTGAGAAGGTAAGCATAAAACTGCAATTTATCAAATAGAGAAAATGTCCATAACACCCAAACAACAAAGGATATGTACAAGTCGGTCAATGTCTTTACCCAGTATTTTATAAATTAGACATTTAAAATGCAACTGTAGGACTTATATTAGTTCCTAGCATTACAACCAGTCACCACAGGTGTCGCCAAATCAACTAAAACTTACATTTTAAAAAGGAGTGCTAGTAGTAACTGTACTGCAGGCTTTTAACTTCAGTATTATCTGGATTAATTTGCGGTAATAACAATTGAAAATCTCTCGATTGAAAAACTCACCCAATTTGAATCAGATTCTGCATTTAATGTACAGTATGTCTCCATCCCACACACTCTGTTGTCATGTTTTCAGGAAGAAACAGAAGTGAAATCCAAGAATGAGCAGGGGAAGTAGGAATGTGTCTCCATCATTAGGCTAGAAGAAGGAGCAGAGTGAGGAAACACAGCGCTGAAAGGCACCAGATCAAAGGTCAAGTCCTTCTTTTGGACACCCATTTAAATCTCTGATTCTGGGAGACACAGCTCGCTGAATTCTGGCCGGACTTCAACTTTCCTTTGTTGGTCCAAAACATCCAAATGTGTGTGACAGTGCTCCTATGTGCTTGAGTGTGCATGTGCTCCTAAAAGTGGCAATGTGTACAAGTGTTTACCGTCTCCATGTGCCTGCTCATGCTTATATGCTATACTAAATATGTCTGCGCGAACCTGCATGTGTGTGTTTGATAGTGTGTGTATTCAGTGATAGCAGGGGGCTGCAAAAAGTTGGGACCTCTGTGTGGGAGCCGAGGGGCGGTGTGAACAAATGCATGAAGGAGACCCAAGATAACAAAACCCTCGAATAACCCAGACTGGCCAAGACACAAAGCATGTGCAAATATCTCTAGGAGCGCTTGTCTTTGTTTGACGTACTTTGGTGGTGCCCTTACATGGGGGCCAGTTACTGTGTCCAAGGGAAACCGAGTGGGAGGTAACTGCCAACTCAAAAATTAAAACTACTCATCACTTCTGTAAAATCTACAAAAACAAAGATTTAATGAAAAAAGTGCTGTCTAGTCTTCTGTGAACAATGTATTGACCCTTTTGCTAAACAGCATACTGTATGTACCCATCAAGTGTAAATGTAGGACTTTTTTCTCCAGTCGCCTGAAAAGATTCAACCAACTCTAAGATGTAATATTTATTTGCTATCTATAACTGATAGAAATCTACTAGTTAGTTTCATTTCAGCCAGATCTTTTTATATAGAAAGTTAGTATTTCATACCAAATTGTATCCATGCTTTTCATTAAAATATGTTTGAAACCACTTTGCAACATCCAAGTCAATATGCTCATATTCTGCTGTATTGCAGCCAGCATTGGCTCATCTGAACAAGCTTATGATGAAACACAAGCTGTTTATGTGTCGGTAACTGAGTGGTGTAATCTCAGATCTGATTTCTTTCTGGAATGTAAACTTATTGAGAGAACAAACCCGGTTTTCAAAGCTACAAAAGTACAATACATTGCTTATCCTTGCGGTCCCATGCCGTTTGTCCTTTACTTCCTGTGAATAACACACACACCCAGTTTGGTGGAATGCAATAATAATTTTGCTGGTGACAGTCAAATACAGAGCGGTTCATGTCAGTTGTGAGAGGCCTTGAGGCAGCTGGCCTTCATGGGAATCTTGCTAATGTTTTACTTGTCAAAAGTTTGGGAGGACATGTTGTATAGCTTAACATCAATCAGAATGACACTGCCTTCTGCATGTGATCAACAATTGAATGCATGATGTGAGAAGAGTTTTGAGACCTTATTCCAGTCATTCCTATTGTGCTTAATATTTGTTCACCTAACTATTATAGTTTCAACTAAAGTTTTTGACCACTAGTTGTGCTTTGGAGCAATGTTTTACAACTGCGACCCTGTTTTGTGGACGTAAATAAGGATGCAAGACATTAAAACACAATACTGCAATTGGCTCTACGTATTATGTGCAACATCCAAGCAAAGGCAGTAATGAAAAAGACGACAAGCAAACATGTACCATATGCCATACATTCACAGTAAATATTTATTCAGTATGATAGCTGTCTAACAGAAGTTAAATTCATTTCTCACTTATTCTGACAATGTACTTAACCCCAAATAAAAGAACCCAATAAAAATAGTTGTTAAATAATAGTGAAGTCACGTTGTAATAACAATAACTCATCTCTCTCGAGTTTTCTTTTTGAGCTTTGCCAAAAGCCACTGTGTCAATGTTGTCCTACTTGGGTTGCCGTCCGGAGTTGTCTAATATGGCGGACGATCTCGCACATGCGCACTGCAGATCGGACAGAGCTGCAGATCGGGTAGTGACAGGCCGTTTCTCAATCGCGAGGATGCTGGCTTGGTCGCGTACTTCCAAGTCACTTCCTTCAGAAACGAAGCAAGTATACTTCCAAGCCACGGCTTCGGAAAACGAAGAAGAATGGAACAGGCTAACAAGTGTGCCATTCTTTCTAACGGTTTCAACATAAACTGTACCGAAAATAAATACCTCACGATGTCTATCTAATTATGAACTTGCTTTATTTTCACGGAACACATTTTTGATGATAACAAACAAATGTAACAAAGTAACATATTTACCAACACATGTTCTACGCCACTACATACCTACATTTAAATGTGTGCTGCGTCGGTTCAGCATTCTCCGCAAGGGTTTTTGAAATTGGTCGGTGCGCAAAGCATTGTGGGGATTTTAAGGACGCGAAGTCTACCCATGTGCAGCCTCGAAATTTCCCCCAAACCAAGGACGCGGCCTTGGTGGAATTCCAAGTATGCTGGAGATTGGAACAGTCCTTCGGGTTACTCGATGACGAAGCATCCTTGAAATATTGGCTTGGAAGCCAGAATCCTCGAGATTGAGACACGGCCACAGTCACAACAATGCAGGTGTCACATGTCTATCTTTCCCTGGCGGTTTATCTGTGCTGCTGGTCCAATATCTGGTTATGTATACTGTAGAGCCGATGAATGGGAGTCGGAGGCGGTGTGTTCAGTATGGAACTCCACACTTTATTATCAAAGAACATTCAGACAGGTTAAGACATTAGCTTGTTACTTGTTGTGAAGCTAGCATGAATGAACCTAGCTTCCGGTGTCCTCTCTAACGGCTCCATGTTGCAACACAATAACCAGAGGTGAATTATGTCCCATCACGTGGCACCACAATACGTTATATTTGGTTTTCCATAATACCCTAGATCTTAAAGTCTTAAAACCGTTTCAGTTATGTATTACACTTCCTTTTTTCAAATCCAGGTTACCCTCTTAACCTTTAATTTACCTGCCTCGGGCAATCCTTGCTGTTCAGCTTTGAACTGCCAAGTCAGTCTTGGTACCGGCAGAAAAGTAAGTGACATCTTCTAAATAAAAATAGGGCAAATGCAATATAAACCTGCTTAGTTAAGCTTCCTGTTTTTCTTCTTACCTTAGCTATGGAACAGCACAGCATTCAAATGTCAGTTTCCAGACAATATGAAGGCATCCACAAGCACCAATAAGCAGGAGTCGAAGCAGCTCCATTTTTATTAACAGAAAGTATTCACCACCCTTAATAGAAAAAGAAGAAGAAAACAGGCTCAACACATTCGTTCAGAACAGAAACCATAAAGGCCAAGCACGATTGCTGTCCAGTTTCACTGCCTATCATAATTTACATAACCCTTGACAGCAACTTCAATAAACATGTCTGCCTCCTATTCCCTTTCTTTTTTTTTTAACTCAAACAGAAGTCATACAGCCTTACACACTTTCACAGCACATACACATTAGCCCCAAATTCCAACACGTAAATATGTCCTAAAAGAGCTAGACCAGCAGCTATCGGCTACATGTTGCACTTAGCTTAGCTTCTAGGCCGCAATTAAGACAACACAGGTGGGGACTGGGGAGCTGCAGCTCAATAATCCATAGGCCTACTTCACATCACACAAACGTTATATCCGGACAGATTTTTGCTTTAGGCTACTAGATTCCTCAAAGTGAAATAATACACGTTCAACTTTACAAAAACGTAATGCTAACAAGGTAACTTGCAGCTAACTCACCAGGATAACTGAATCCACAACGTTAATTGGGACAAAACGCACTAAGTTTGTCCTGCCTACACTATAACTTGACTAACTGTAGTCAGCAGTAGGCTACAAGTTTAACAGATGAACTGTTTTTTGTCCTCCTCTCCTAGTGTTTAGTTGCAGCTTTCCGTTCTAACTGAGCTTCTGTCACACACCTGTCTAAACTACACATTATCTCGCGGTGGGAGACGTTATTAGTGGCTACATCTACCCAGAGCCATATAATAGAAGAGTTACGACAACGGAAGTCCAAAAACGGTTATCGTCACGTGGTTCATGTAGACGAGGATCGTTCCCCGGAAGTTCATGGCGGGCAATGTGAATGCATTGATAACAGGAGAAAGAACTACGATTTTTGGTAATTATTAGTGAATAAAGGTTTTGATTTGCAATATTTATACAAAAAATCGATATGTGTATGTATTTACATCAATATGTTTTAAAAAATAAAATAGAATTTGCTAATATTAAGTGATAATATTAGGATTAGTGTGAACAACTAGTTTACATGTTAGGCTAACAGTGCCTTGGTTAAAGAGCCTGTTGCTGTTTATTTATAGCTTTGAATTCTTTAAAACCAATATTATCTTCTTAAACTTGTATGGTAGTCAGGAGCATCACTTTCTAATGTTTATTGATATATTTAGAGGGAGGGGATCTAAAGTAATGCTTTAAAATTCAGATTAGATTAATGTCTACCATTTTCTTAAATTCATGGTAGTTTCAGTATTCCCATGGTAATTGAGGACACAAGTTATCTAAATGACTAATGTCATCTTTATGGCTTTCAGAAAGGACAGGAGACCGACAGGTGACTATCAAAGGACTAGCAGCAGCAGCATGATGATGATGATGTTAAATGTGTTGTTTTAGGAACATCCATTGCAAATACATGGAATTCAATAAACATTGAATAGCATATCATGCAGTTTGTCTGTGCCTTTTCCTCCGTGTTGTCCTGGTTTGCTGTGCTGCCTCCTAGTCGCCACCATGGTTTGCTGTGCTGCCTGGGGATGCTCCAATCGCTCAGAGAAAGGAGTACGAATGTACAGCTTCCCCACTGACACAGAGCGGAGGAAGCAGGAGCAATTTCACAACCAACAGCAAAAAAATATGTGATTTATATACAAACACTGCATTTGCACTTTTTCACAAAATGAAAACCACACCATTGGGAAAGCTTAATGTTTTGTTTAATACAAAAAACAGGGAAAGGCTTGAAAAACACTGAGAGTTGAGACTCAGGGTGCAGGGTGAGGGTCTCAGTGCAGGTATTCAGGCTCCATTGAATCCCCCTCTGGTTCTTGTGCTGAAAGAGGGAGTAACAGACAGGAGAAAGGGTTATACACACCTATATAGCACACCTATTGGATGGGAAATTGCCTTGGGGAGATAAGGTGTGGTCTTTGTTCCCAACTGAAGTTATGGAACTTTATTATTTGTGAGTTTAACAAAGTATGACAAATGGCATCAGTAACAGATGTGATATGAATTTCTATAAAGTTGTCTCACATTCTTGGTCATATTGTATATACAGTATGTAATGAGTATAACATGTCCAGTAAGTATAAAGTGTTTCCTAATACTGTGTATTCAACCACTATGGAATATGTATGTGGGCAGACAAAACTGAGTTGTTCTGTGTGTGAAGTAACCTCAAGTCACTCCGCAGGCACATTTTGAAGCAGACCAGTTTGTCAAGACAAAAAAGGGCAAGACTAGGCTGAGAGCAGAGGCTATACCCACCATCTTCGTGCATCGCCCTGTGGTCAAAAAGAGAAGGGCCCCTGCACCACGATTCACCACGGGACCTGTATCTACAAAGCCCATAGCTCATGATCACAGCGATAGTGTGAAAGGTGACACAGGTATAATAAGTATGAACTCTTAGTAACAAAAGTAATATTTCTTATTTTTAAGTGGTATAATATTTTAAATGTTCGAACATTTACAGTGCCATGTCTTCTACTTACATTAGTCTCAAAGATTGAGGGAAGAAGGGAAGGGATCACTGCCCTCCACCTGCCAGAGGAGCGCAAACAACAAAAACAAGCAAGGTGTCCCGTCATGTACCTGGAAGTTTGGGTTGGCAAAAGGGAGTAAGAGAGGGACTTGAAAAACCTTGGTGGCTGTCTACTCATGTTGTTACAGTTGTCTTGGTTACAGCTCTCAAGTTTTTTTTTGTGCCATTTCCACATCTTTAGAAAATATGAAAAAATTGAAGTGAAATCAACCTCATCTCTGGAGAGCAAACTTCGATTTCTCTGTCTTGTGAGTTTGCAGTCTTGCAGTTTTGCTCCTCCACCTGTAACATCACTGCCCCTCCACCTGCCATACAGTAGGTTACTAACAAGATTACTTATATAATACAGTGATATAATACATGTTTAGTATGCTTACTTATATAAAACAGTAGTATTAAACTTACCTTGTGTGTTCACTCTCACTTAAGTTCCTCTCCCTTTGCCATCAATCCAAAATCAGCTGAGCTGCCACATTATACACACAGGTAATAATCAACATAATCACAAGGACACAATATGGCTCTGCTAAAAACACTCACTCTTACACGCACCAAAGTTATATTTATCTAATATTTAACTCCCTCCACCCCCGCATACAATCCCGTTTAGAAGCCCCTCTTCTCTAATTCAACAACGTTGGACCAAATGACATTAAGAGAACGGAATTTACAATTAAAAGGCTGTTCAACGTGTGTTGCTAACTTGCTTCAGTATCCTAGCTTGATCTGTTATCTGTAAACGTTCCCTAAATCTACTAATTTAGGGATAATCCACTGACATCCTTTAATACACATGTTCAATTGAATCAGATGTACTGATAATATCCTCAATATAAATCTTTAAACTTCTTCTTACCTTTAAAAGTCCGTCACGAACGGTCTATTATGCTGCAACTCCACAGCTCTGCTAGCCTTGGCGCTAACTTCCGGGGAACGATTGAGAGGCTCCACGATCTGCCATTGCTGTAAAAAAGTGGTCCATTGGAGTGAACGGAGATGTCATAACTCTTCTATTATATGGCTCTGCATCTACCTATGGGCGAGGCGTTTAGGGAACATATGTACATTGGAAATACAAAAATAACCTGGGTTACAATATGGTAAAATAAAATGTAATTTAACAAAGTAATAATCAGTAGGCATTCTCACCTAAATAAAAAATAAAAAATGTAATGTATTCAATGTTTTATCTGTAGGCCTATGACCTTTACAAAATAATTTGAGTAGGCCTACAACTAAGCAAAGTAAACTGTTTCAGTGTATTCCTGTTACGGTAGGCCTATGCAAATTTCATATATTTTTTTTAAATAAACACATAAACACATTTGTATTATTCTTGTGGTTCATTAAAGGGAAATGCTGGTATTTCAACTTGTTGTAGGCCTATATCCCATAAATGTGACAAATACGAATACAAACACACATATTGTACCCTTAGACTTCATTGTCTCCCCCAACTGCTGAAACAAAGTCTATAGCTCTGAGTAAAGTTGTGGCTATATAAAAGCCACGTTTACGCTATGAAAAATACTTGAAAGGTATGAAATCTAAAAAGATGTTTAAATCTTTGACACATGCAATGTGCCACCACTATTCATTTTGTCTCTTTACTCTTCTATTCCTGGCCAAGACACAAAGCGCACTCTGGGTTATAAATGCAGTTGTCCCTGGACTTAAAAGTCAAAAAGCGTTCCTTTTGACTCCAAAGACAAACCTCAGCAACTCATTCAGGCATGCTTGAATAGCTTCAGAACTCTCACTGCTCGCCTGTTTCTTTCAACTCTGAATATTTGAATTTGATTAAACGGTTGCACAACCCAGCCAAAACACTGATGGCACCTTTTATTTCGCCACTAAGCCTTACCGTTTGTCATGGTGATGGTGATTAAAGATGTGTATGCACACACACATGCATACGGTCACACATGGACACACACATTCAAACTCAGCGTCATGGTAATGCTGAATGAATTTGCAAGTATTAATACGGGTCACTCTAGTGTATTATTCTCATGTTTTGAGGTGATGGTCGACCTGTCATAACCTGAGTTCCTCCTGAAAGATCCACAGTCCGGTCTGCTGGGGCCTGGAGGGACCATTAATCTCACGCACAATAGCCTTATTAGCAATTCGTTGAGTGATGGCTTCACTTTTCACACTCAATGGCTTTAAAGGTAAGAGTTAAGGATTTATACATTTGTGTGTGCTTTGAGAAGATTTTGTTTTGCGAAGGAAGTGGATATGCTGAAGGGCATGTGAAGGGAGTGAAGAGTTACACTGGTGGCTTACTCTCTGTCGCCACTTCAACAACTTTGCAATAATCCTATAAAGTAATAAGATCAGGTTTTAAGCCTGCTTACGGAAATCCTTTTTGGAAAGTAATACTGGGGCTCAACCTCCAACGGTTTTCCTTGTAGAGACAAACATAAAAGGATTAGGAGGGGAAAATTGTTATCCAGCTGAGTATATAGTTAAACAGAGGCTCAATAAGAACTGCTTTTCTTTGCTACACCTTTGGAGAATAGTGTTTAAGAAATCTTTAGCTCCTCACAGAGCCATCTCCAAGGAAGAAAAATTCAACATTCGAAAATGATTTAGTTCAAGGTCGGTTGGTTGGTCTACCACTTTGATCCAAACTGAAACATGTCAACAGCTATTGGATGGATTAAAGTGACATTTGATACAGGCATCCATGTTTACCTCAGGCTAAATAGTAATGTAATGTTTACATGCTCAATTAAGATGCTGTAACATGATGATGGTAAACATTACACTTGCAAAACATCAGCAATGCATGTTAACATTCTCTTCGTTAACAATAAGTATCAAGCTCAAAGCAGTTCTTAGACTAACTTTTGAAAGTAAAAAAAATACTGACAATGTAAGTTTATTCTTTTTTTTATCTTCAACTTGAAACAAATACGTTTTTAAAAAACTACATAAACACACAGTGCTTAGAGATGTTTAAGTCTGCCTCATTCCACCCATTGTGGCCCACAATAAATTCTGCTGCAGCAGCAGATGATTTGATGGATTTCCTGAATAAGCCATTGTGACATTTTCCTGCTTGGAGCAATGATGTCATCAGGGTGAGACCACTGAAAGAGTGACACCATAGAGCCATTAGCACAAGGTGGCTGTCATTCTTCGTTATCCCC